GACTAAAAAAAAAAAAAAAAGAAGTTTTTGGAAATTTGTTAAAAACACAAAAATATTTTTGTTAATTTTATTTTATTTTCAAAAATTCAAAAAAGATTTTTATTTTATTTTCATTTTTACTTTTATTTCTAAGCTTTATTTTTTATTTTTATTTCAAATATTTAAAATTAAAAAAAAAAAAAAAACTCAAATCCCAAAAACATTTTTCTTTTATTTTATTTTATTTTATTTTATTTCCAAAAATCCAAAAATATTTTGTTAAACTTTAATTTTTAATTCTTCTAACTTATCAAAAAAAAAAAAAATCTTTGCATTCCTTATTTTCTTACATTTTTATTTACTTGCCTTTTTATTTATTTTTTTATTTGTGTACATATTTGTTTTGTCTAAAAAAATAAAAAATAAAAAAATAAGACGATTTTTCAAAGAAGCATTCCGTCTTGCTAGAGACGTTAAACTTAGCACCCATTTTGCATATTTCTTACATTTTTCATTTTTCTTTGCATGTTTTCACATATATATTAAAAAAAAAAAAATGAAAAACAAAAAGTAAGAAAATTTTGTATATACTTGCATTGTACATATTCTTTCCATTTTTTTTGCATTATACATGTTCCTTTTCATTTCTTGCATTGCACATATTATTTTTCATTTCTTACATTGAACATATTCTTTCATTACATTTTGCCTTATTTTATTTTCTTTTTATATTTTGTTCATGCATTTTATTCTTTGTTTTTCTTGCATTTTGTATATACTTGCTTTCATTAAATGAAAAATATAAAAAGATTCATCATTGTGCCCTTATGTGTAGTCATGCATACTTTATGCTTTAGTTAGGGCTTGATCTTATATCTCTCTTGCATCATGTGTTACATTGCCTTAGACTGCTTGATTTGATTATTCTTATCCCATTTGATATTTGATGTGAGTTTGCTAGCGTGGTTATTCAAGTAGGTTGTTGATTCCAAGTTTGGGGGAGATGTCTTTCGAATTGGATCATGACCGGGCTTCATGTCTACACCACCACGGTATACTCTTTCCACTTTTTTTTCCATTGTTCTCATTGCACATTGAGGACAATGTGCGGTTTAAGTTTGGGGGTAAGGTGTCTTGTTGCATTATACTTAAGATTTGAACTTTAAATGCATGATTGAGATTTGAGATTGATGTTAGTTATGATTTTGATCTTTTGAGGACTATATTGCTTAAAATTTAAAAATTGCTTGACTTGAGAGTCCAATACTCCTTGTATGCCTTGAGGATGCCATTTAGGAGTAAATTTTTCAAAAGATTGATATCTTGCTTGCATTTGTGGTCCACATCATCCTAAATTTGTGATTGTTTTGAGATTCATTTTAGGATTCTACACTAGCACCGGTGCACACTAGCATTCATTTGTGGGGTACATGCTTTGTTGATTATTGAATTGGTTATATCCCAATTGGGCTAGTAGTGCATTGAAAGCTTTCATTCTTGATAAAGGTGGATGACAACCCCTTTTCATTGAGTAGCCGGGATTCTTGCCTTATTAAGCAGTGAACTTCTCGCGCCGAAAGGTGGAGGGCCCAAACTTTAGGTTAATAATTGATTTAAAAAAAAAAAAAAAAGTTGCAAAAGCAATAAAAGTGAGGACTTCTCCCAAAAGGCGAGAAGTAGGAAATGATTAGATGGTTGTTGTCTTGATTTGTAGCCTAGTTGATTTGAGTTTGTAAGTCCGTAGGGGTGTTTTAACACCTAATGCCCTAAAGCCATCTGGTTTGGGAGTCATTGACCTAAAGCTCGCTACATGAATCTTCTAGAAAGCTTAAGAGATCAACACATTGCACAATATTTCCATCTTTAATCCTCAATAAAAAAAATAAAAAAAATAAAAATAATAAAGAAGAAGAAAATGAGTGAAAAGAATAAACGCACCTAGAACAATAAAGTTTTAATAAAAGGTTCACTCTCTTATCTTGATGATCGGTACTAGATTTGTGTGCTAGTTTGAGGGTAAGGATGTGATTACTTCTCTAGTTGGCTAAGATAGCAACACACTTGATGCCAGATCTCTCACATGGATTCTAGACTTGTTTCGATTTTCATGATCATTTTCTTGATATGTGGAGGACCATACTTGCTTGCTTGATATTGAAATTTTGGGAGATTGCTTAGAAACGGTTGAAAAATTGCATACTTGAGGTAGTTTTCTCCCAAAGCTTGTTTGCAATATTGGTGCCTCTTTTGAAAGAATGAGCTTAATGTTTGTGGGTATCCTTTCTGGAAACCCTCACGAGACTTTACTCGTCCACTAGGGGTAACCTAGGGGTTTAAAAGGCTTGTTGCATATGCTAAATGCAATCGTGTTCCCTACGAAAATGGTGTTATCATTTTACTTGCTTTCCAGTTTATACTTGTAAAGTTGTTTATTTCATTCATTTACTTCTTAGTTCATTGCTAGGGACTAGCAATATTTAAGTTTGGGGGTGTGATGAGCACTGAAAAGTGCGCATTTAAACCCGTTAAGCTTAAGCATTCTAGTACTTTTATCTATCTTACTTTGCCGTTTTAGACTTATTACGTGTTATTTATATTTTCAGGCACTAATCCCAAAATTGAGCTAACTCAGCCAAATAAGAGCTTAATTGAAGCAATCCTGAGATAAACCAAAGGAGGGAGCAAAGTGGAGAAAGAAAGGAGCAAAAAGGAATCAAGTTGTGTAGCTGAAAAGTTCGATCGATCCAACTTAGAGTTCGATCGATCGAACATCTATGATCGATCACAGTACTTCATGATAGATCCAACCTTGGCCTTTGCTAAAATTCCAAGTTCGATCGATCGAACATCACCTTCGATCGATCGAATCCTATTTTGTCCTATTCAAATGATTGATCTTATCCACAGCTGTACGCCTACCAACAACTTTTGTCTTTTTCCCCATAAATATCTTGAAAATATCCCAGCCTTGTCATTATCCGGAGGAGTCAGACCACTTCGATCGATCCAAGATGCAGTTCGATCGATCGAACCCATTTTCGATCGATCCAAGTTAAGGTTCGATCAATCGAACTTCCTCCAACGAGAAAAAGTTAAAGTCCAGCTCATTTATTTCGTCCTTCATCCAATCATTGGAGAATATGCCTTGCACGACCACAGCTTATCATGGGGTGTATTTGACCTACCTATATAAGGAATATGATACACTTTTTGAGGGAGTCTCTTGTCACACATTGAAAATCATCTTGGAGGCTCTTCTTGGAGAGGAGGAAAGAGGGAAGCTAGAGCACCATTGGAGGAGATCTTCACCAACAAGGAGCAGCCATGGAGTTAGCCCTTGAGGGTTGGATCATCACTACCATGAGTGGCTAGACATCCTCTTGGGGCTAGAGTTAGCCCCAAGCATGCTTTCTATACTCTAATCTTGTGTATTATTGAGGGATTAGTGTTGTATGATACATCTTGATATTCATGTATATATAAATCTTGATTATTTCATGGTTTGTATGGTTTAATGCTTCCAATTGACTATTCTATTCTATCCATATGTCTATGTATGCTAGAGTAGAATATTCATGTGCTTATCCCTAGATTTAGTGTTTTTGATGCATGTCTATGTGTATTGATGTTATAGATCTAGAGATTATTAAGATGATATGCTTAATGAATGCTATTTTGGTTCATTTGATGGTTTATGCCTATTCTTGATGGTTTGTGCCTCTCCCCTAGTCTAGATAGCTTTATTTTCATGTTAGTAGTGTAGATTTAGTGTAGTGGTAGTGTAATGTTAGATGGAAGGATAATCTACTCTTGATGTTTGATGTTCTATGCTTGTGAGTCCAAATAGCATATGCTCTAATATTGTGGTATAATGGAATTTTGAGTTTAATGAATGATTAATGACTAGTTATGATATGTTGTATCTTTCACATGTGTTTAGACAATTTATTCCTCTCCCAATAGATATTTTGTACCTCTCACATGATATTTAGATAATGCATGTTTAACTAAATCATCCTTATGGATTGCTTAGACTATGAGCTTAATGAAAGGTTCAATGACTTGAATTGTTATTTTGTTATCTTCACATGATGTTTAGACAATATATTCCTCTACCAATAGATGTATTATGGCCTCACACATGTTGATTGAGACAATTTGCACTTGTTGAGTCACCCTTACCAATTGAATGTCTTTTACACACACAACATTGTTGCAACACATTCATTTCCCTCATTAGTCACCTGATTATGGTTAGGAATAGTATTGTTTGGTGGTGATCTTTACACCCCAAGACCTCTCTCTCTCTCTTGTTTACTTCATATTATTTTATTTAGTTGAATTCAATTTAGCTTAATCAACCAACCTAATTCTTTTTTGCAATCATTTGGTACGCTAGAGTTGAAGTTGAAATTCCAACACGTATAATCCATTGGGACGATCCCTACTCACCCTATCTATATTTTATATAGAGAAAGGTAGTAGTGGCTTTCTATAAATGTAAAACTTGGCCACCTCCTAAATTCACAACTCTTCAAGCTTGACTTGGTATCGCGACCCTTGTAAAGGACCCGGTCATTTCCCTTATAAGGTTTTACAGTAGTTAGTTTCCTTATCATTAGGCTATTCTTTCATTATAAATACATATAATGAAGAGAGTAGAATCATCTATTCAATTATGAACACAACATCAAATTTTCTCCGCGAATATATCTCATAACTTTATGGATTCAAAATTGTTTATCATTGCTCGTGAACATTCATAATTTCTGCTTAAATCAAGAATCAATCAGCAAGTTCAGCTGTTTTGTTTAGACAATGAGATCATATCAAAAGCATTGATGGCCATTTCAATCGGTGTTGAATTAGCATATTCTATGAAAGATTGAACCGTGGAGAAAATTAGCCTATATTTCAGAATTTATGTCACAAGGACTTGTAAAAGAAAAAAAATATGATTTTCTCCTTCATTAATCTGCTTTTAACAAAGTCAATATTTCTTATGCTCGAGACAAGATAAATGACTCCAAAGTTTAGGATTTTAGGATCAAATTCATCAAAGTATTTATTTCTCAGGAATCATTTTCATTTTCTACATTAAATAAACCAAAGACACCACTTCAACATGATCCTTGGGAAAAAAAATCATTTTAATATGGTAACAAATTCTCACCTGTGGTAAATTCTTGCTTCAGAAAATCAAAGCTCTTATGGTGTCCACAATTGTCTGAGGACTTAATGTAGCATCAACCTTAAGTATCCCCTCAGATTCATTAATCTGAAGCAAATCGAGTTGAGATTGCAAGAGCGAAGCAGGCATGAAATGCTTCCCTTCTGCTGCTCTTTTCTCTAGACGAGCAGAGAGAACCTCAGCCCGAGCATCCAACAAAACAAACTTCACAACAGAAACATAGCTTCCCGGTTCATAGTTTGTGTGAGCAGATCTAAGAATTTCTCTGTACCGTTTCTGCAGAGCAGAACACCCAAGAATTACATTTTCTCCACCAATTAAGCTTGCTCTTAGGACATCTCGTAGCGTTTCAAGCCATGGAGTACGGTCTTCCTCTGATAAAGGGATTCCTTTATGCATCTTTTCTGTCTTTTTTGTTGCACAAATCACCAATTCAAAAAAGTTGAACAAGAAAAAGAAAATAAATGAAATTTTTTTTAGCAGAATAATAAAACTCCGATTCTAAATAAAATCACTAAAATTAATCAATTATTACCTTTGCTTGATTGAGAGTGAAAATCATCCGCGTCAAGAAAACTGCAATTTATAACTTTTGCTAGCATCTCACCTATTGTGCTGTCGAAGTACAAGCACAACACATGATTTCATAAGAAGAAACTAGAATTATTGGAAGTAAACAAACAAAGAAATGCGAAGGAAAAAATAATCTTTGTATTTAATCCAATATCATGTCACCGAGGCCGGTTATTGTCTTTTTAGAAATTAGTTCCTTGAAAGAAGGGGACCTTTATGAAAGGTTGCAACAATGAAGATAATATTTTATCAGCTCAAAACCTAAACCAAACAAATAATTATACGCCACTTGATGGGAAGGAAGCATCTTTTTTTTTTCCTTTCTTTTTTCAATGGTATAAAAAAAAATACAGCATACTAAAGCCGTTTTAAGTATTTTGCTAAAATCCAATCCAATTTTATGGGTGAATATGGTTGCGTTGTGCTAGAAGCTGCTAGTTTTTGGTATTGACCGCAGAAGCTCATTTACAATTTTGTTATTGATTTTACAGGCTTCTTCTACCTCTCTCAGCCTGCTAGGATCCCTTTTTTAGAGAAACAAATTACAAAAAAGGAAAAATAGCAAGAAATTATACTGAAAAGAAAACTTAAAACTTCTCCTTGCTGTATAGTTCTGTATAAAACGGTAGAAAGCGTGTGAAAGGGAAGCATTTCTAATTTCTTTCAACAAAAAGTTTTATGACAAGTTCATTGTTCATATAGCAACCAAATACACCCAAAAGTAACCCGTGGCACAGTAAACTGGTGTAAACAGTAAACTCGAACATAAATACACCTGAATTTAAATGATGTGTGATTTGTGGTGATTGCACACATCCAAGGTATCCCTCACCACCTTGTGTACCACAAGGTCACTACGTTGAAAGGGTCTTTGGTTTCACACACACAAAACCAATCTATTATATACACACACTATGCATAATGACTGTTGGATATAATTGCTACGTTCTTTTGGTATCCAAAAGTCATTACGCTTGGTGTGGATAAATTCCATGCACACCGGTCAGCAAGAAATTATTTTCCTATTCTTTTTTTATGTCAGTTAAAGAATAATTTCACCAAAAAAAAAAAAAAAACCAGAGGAATGTTGATTGGAAAATGAGAAAGACAGCTAAGAACACGTATAAGATGATTATATTACGTAAAAAAAAAAAAAAAAAATTTTAATAAAAAGGATTCCAAATCAAACAATTTAAGAGGGGGGTTTATAAGAACTCACGATTTCCCAGCGCCACTAACACCCATAATCACAACAGCTGTTCCTGTAAATGAAAAAAAGAAGGAAATTTATAATCCAATCCATACACAAATTACAGAGAAACGAAGGGAAACGTGTGCAATAAAGAGAAGAAAATTGTGAATTGAGACACAGATAGGAAGTTGTATTTGAGTAATCAACTCAATTAACAAAGAAATAGAAAAAGAAGAACCTTTGAGATCAGAAGCCATAATTGGTTGAAGGGTGAGGAAGATTTAAAGCCGCCTCAATTTATGACAAATGATAGGTGAGGAAACTAGTCCTTGCCCATATCTGTATTCAAGTAACACACGGAAACAAAGTCAAAAAACCATCTAGGGGATCTAAGATGGACTAAATACAATGTGAGCATACTGAGTATAAATATAAATTATAAATATATAAATATATATTTATAAATCGGGTGGCATGCTTTGGTAGCTCTTTCGAGGTCTGGGCTTGGGTCGGTTCAGCTGTTGTCTTCTCTTCCTACTTCCGTCATTCCTTTTGTTGTGGCAGATGTTGGGTCTTAGCTGGTTTTTGGTTGTTCTGTCATCCCTTTTGCTGTGGCGATGTTGGGTGTTGGCTGTTTTTGGTTGTTTTCGGGTCCCTTGTGCCTTGTTTGTCTTTGCCAGGCCCCAAAAAAAAAAAAAACTCCCTTAATACACTCTATGGTATTAGGTGGTGACACCAATTTTCAACCAAAAAAAATTGTTAATTTGTTGTTGTTTGATGAGTGTACTTTCTAAAAGTCATTTTACTATTAAATAAATTTTTGTTTGACAATTATACCCATCTCATATATACCATTTCCATTCAAACCCATCTCCTTAATACCCAATTTAAACTCATCTCCATCGTCACTGTTTGACCAAGGTTGAAAAAATACCAAATGAAAATGCGGCAAAAACAACAAGATTAGTTTATCAAAATGAGAATGCAGCAAAAACAGCAAGCCCTGTACTACGAATTTTCATACCCATTTCAATTTCTAAAACAACCTTCAACATATAAATCATTTTGCTTGACAAATTGCCCATAAGAGTTGGTATGGAAGAATTTTAGGTGAAACGTGATTGTTAAATAATATTCATCTTTTTGTACTTTAAATTTCAAAGTCATTTTTGAATTGGTAAATAGAATATATATAATTAATTTGTAATCTTTTTTTTTAGTATATATGAAAAATTATATATCATGCTCCTCCTAAATTTTTAATTTCTAAAATTATCTTTAACTGTTTTTTTTTTTCTTTTGTTCTTTAAATTCCTTAAATTTCTTTTAAAAAAGTCAAATTTCTCTTTTTGAATCATACTTTAATTTTTTTTCTTTCAAATATATCTCAACTTTTTTTTTCTTCTTAAAATTACTTTTTGCGTGTTATATCAACGCTAGTTTAATTTTTTATTTATTTATTTTTTAACTGTGCCCCATCTGAATTAAAATCCTTGTTAAGCTCCTGTAAGGTCCACAAAGAAAACAGAATTACAACCTGAAGAGAATGCACACGCAACCCTTGCCATAAGAAGTCTATATACCAGTCAACCTCACTGGCTTTTTTTGAGCTCAGAGAAAACATGCTCTTGATTTCTGGTTAAGAGAAAAGCACTTATTATAAGGCTACGCTACACCCACCTGCTCTCCTCTCCTGACATACTGGAACCATTTGTCTTCTCTCTATTTTTTCCACCCAACTCCACCTTTATTTATAGAGTTTTTAACCCATTTCTTCTTAACAAGGATTTTCATACCTAGTGTAACAAGACGTTACCAAATCCATCACAACTCTAAAAATAAAATCCTATTAAGAGACATATTCCTTAATTACAAAGGAACAACTTAGGTTAGCAATTTTTCAAATAAGGAAACAAATCCCGCACATGTCAAGCGAGTGCTACCGGTTAGATTCCTCCAGAACCTAGATCTTCACTTCTTCAATAAGTTTGACCGGTTTGCAAAAGTACAACTGGCGGCTATACTCCTCCAAAATCTGATAGAATTTGAGTCACTCCTAAGTGCATTGTGGGTGTTAATTGTCAGGAAAAAAAGAAAAGAAAAAGTGGAATGCTTACGGTGGAATACCCAAGTTCGAATCCCCATTTCATTAATTATTAGTTGCTTTAACTTCCAAACAAAAAAATAAAATAAAACTACTTGAAATATCAAGTTAAAAATTGCATTTTTAAAATCTTCCCAATTTGAAGATGTCATTTTCAATCCCTTATTTTTTTTTTTTGCAAATGTTTCATTAAAATTGACTAATAATTCATTTATCAATTGTTCTTTCTCCCACTTCTTATAAGGACGTTTGGGCAATTCGTCAATAGAATATCGCATTTAATTCTATGATGCAACACTCTGATTGGTACAACCTTCATCTTCATCTTCATTCAAGGGTTCATGTTCCTTTAAAGGTTTCCGAGGAGTTCCCCACCCCCATTCTTGCAGCACAACCTTCATTTGCAAATCTAAAACTAGACCTTCTAGTGTCTCCTTTCCTAATTTATTTTCGACAGGGGAGGCCAGTGTGTTTTTGACAATATATAAGGAAGGTAATTGTAATAATCTTTATTTATTTATTTATTTTTACCAATCTTTATCTTCTTATAATGCGTGCGCGCGTGCACACATATATAAAATAAAATTTTAAAATAGAGATAGAGAATTACAGTATAATTTAGAGTTATTTATATGTTTGTGTATAGAATTAAATTGTCTTTCCTCAAGTGACCCTGGTTGATCCGGACGTATTAAATGACTATTACACTCATTGTAATGTTTCGTTAAAATATATGGACACTAGTTTTTTAAAGCTTTCTAAGGATATTTTCGGGTTTTAAGTAAATTTGAGCAGGACATTAACAGATAAGAGTGTCAGATTTTCATGACGGAGAAAGGAATGTTTCTCGAATCTGAACTAAAAGGGAGGTCCGTATTATATTTGAAACTAAAGGAGAGATTTCTTTATTTGAACAGTCTACAAATGAGGCAAGTATAATTATACAAAAAATAAAATAAAATAAAATAAAATAGAAAAGATAATACCAATAAACAAAGCGGTGGGATATCAACATCACTAATTTTCACTACTTAATTCAATATTAAGAGAATATCAGCTATCAACCCTTTTATACATACAAGTCTTTTACCATTTCCAAAAAGGTACAATATTCAATTTGTATAATTAATGTCCTCCTCAAATTTGGTAAGATGCTTTTGATAAAGATGATTATACAATCCAATGGTAGTTGTATTAGTTGAAAATAATAAAAATAAATATAAAATGACAAAATATAAGAATTTTTTTTGCCCAATTTGAGATAATCTTGTTAAGAGCGTCTCCAACATTATGTTAAAATAGTCTTTTTTTATAAAATATACACTGTTCAGTATGTTAAGATACACTTCATCAATGTATAAAAGTGTTGTTGTGTATTTTGCACAACCTTTTTACACAGCCATATAACATATTTCATTTTTCCTCCCTATTTCTTATTCCATTAACGAATCAACCTTATATTAAGTAGGTTTGTAAAAATTATGCGGAGTTAGACATGATACTAGTTGATTGTTATTGGGGGATATATTTTTACACAAAAGATATAAAACAACCTGTAGAGTTAAAAATAAATAATCCAATTTTTTTGTTTTAATCTATTATGACCCATCATATTTACAAAAAAAAATATATATATATACACAACGGTTGAAGATGCTCTAAGAGTACGTTGCAAATATGTGTTTCCTTAATTTTTTAAGAACAAAAAAGAAAAATGCTCCACAAAATTACGAGAAATAACATTTTATAATCTTGTAACGATTTTGGGATGAAAATTAGTTGAATACATATAATAAATAATTTTGTTGTACATCACCATTATTTAATTTCCTAGTGACTTCAAGTACATCCTTATTATACACCAAAATGCTGAACAATTATTTTGTTTTCTTCATTATGGATGAAAGATAAGCATACTACTTTGCGATCCATCCTTTAATGATCTCGACCTCTCTCGTGTTGCTTCACCAACCAATCTGGATCACTTGGCGATTCTCCCATTACGTCCATACAATGAGCTCCTGCACATTAAAATGCATGTTGTAAATCTCGTGAAACATTAATACTATTTTAATCTAAGTAGTAAATTGAGTAATTATTCATGCATATATATATATCTATACTAGTAAGAGACACACGTGATGAATATTTTCTAACTTATACTATTTTCATATTTTTTTAATTGTTTATAGTTTTATAAAAAAATAGGCAAAATAGTTTCGGCCCATAATGCCCTAGAGAGTAATAATTGTCACTTCAAAAGAAACAAAATAAGGTTTTCTATTGATTTATGAATAAAAACTATAAACACTTAAAAAATATATGAAAATAAAATTCTATTGTTGAGGCTGAAATTCGCGCAGTCCGATACGATACCGTTTTCCTGCAAGGAAGAGAGGAGAAGATCGATGAACCTTGACGGCACCGGTGTGGTGCCTACCAAGAGCTCTCCGACGATCAAATTAGTCACGGAGGTCTAAAAAGAAGGTAGGGATTAATAATAGTTTTTACGTCGTACCTTCTTTAATGGCTTGATGCCCTATTTATGGCTGTCGATTGGAATCAAAATCGTTCCGCTGAAATCGATGGTTGACCTTATCTTCCGCTTGTGCGAAATCATAGGAGATTTATTACCAAATTTGTCGGGATATGATTTAATCATTTTGACCTCCTCTAGTTATAGTAGGATTATTATTACTTGTTGAACCACGTCAGATTTGATTTCATTATCCTTGATAATGAAATCTAATCAATCTTATCCATTGATGATTTTGGTCCTATGATGCTCAATGATAAGTTTTTGTCTTAATTGTACCTATTCTGATATATATAAATATGTATATATATTATCCGTTCAAACTGGACATCTGTTCTTTTATTTTTGCTTTGCTAACTTTGCAAATAGAAAGAGAACATTAGTGTTCCTTGTACGCGAGAGGCAAGCTTGGGAATGGGGGTAGAAAGTTAACCTCTCTTATTAAAAATACGAGCTCACGAAACTTTAGAAAATCAGTTACTCACGAGGATGAACCTCCCATATTAAAAGGATAAGTTCATGAAGCTCGTAATTGCCATTCCCCGTACTATAAAGGATTGATATAAAAGTGCCCCGTACTATAAGGGCCCGAGCTGAATAAAGCTCGTAATTGTTGTCCTCCGTATTAAAAGGGGTTGAAATCAACTTGTAAAATACACTTCCCTTTTTAAAGGGCGAGCTGAGTGAAGCTCGTAAAATATATTTTCCTTTTTAAAGGACGAGCTGAGTAAAGCTCGTAAATATACTTCTTTTTTTTAAAAGGTAAGCTCATTCAGCTTAAAGAAAGCCTACTCCCTCAACTCATGAAGTTCGAACAAATCTTAAAAGATCAACCAAAAAAGGTCGCCCAACAAGGGTTAACCTAAAAAAGAGATTGATTTATGCCAAAGAGACGTCACTCAAAAAAACACTTTTGACATTCTCGATACTTGACAAGCAAGCACGAGAATGGGGGGCAACTGATAAGCATAAAAATAATAGGCAGCTCAAAGTCAAAAGAGAAATAAGATAAGGGTAAGGGATAT